TAATGCGTTATATTACTCGTTACTTAAGAAAAGTAATATTATTACGTAACGCACGTTACTTGTAACGCGTTACCCCCAACACTGATAATAAGTCATTAGTGAATGCCAGAGAGCCACATGAGTGAACATGAGAAATTAAAAGAAAATGTGTAATGAAAATAAAATGTAAATGACAAGTGGTTATTTAGATTTCTTGTACACCTGTCTTAAAATGTAAGGGATACTGGAGCTTGGTTGGGGTGGTGGGATGGCTCGCGGTGGGTGCCGGAAAATTTCCCTTATTTTCAAATCCAAAACTTGACAGGCATGGCCATACCTGTTCCTGGTATTTACATGAGAACAGGTGTGGCTCATCAGAAGCCGGATATGACAGAAAACCTACTGGATGGTAGCCCTCCATTGGTTGGAGACCCCTGGTCTAAATATATGTATTCATTTAGCCTAGTGTAAACATGCACGGTGCTATCACGGCTAATGCTAGGCTGAGACTGAAGCTTTACCCTTTGTTTCCGCTGAGAGACGTGCTGCGTGACTCATTTCTCCGAGCTTACAAGGTATCTTAGGTCGGCGTTCACGGTTTGACTTCTGAGATTCAGATCGAGCTCTAGGTAATTTTTTTTTCGAACTGGTTAGTTCGACTTTTAAGAAATTCGCGTTCTAATGAGTTCGAGAACTGAGGTACCACTGTATTATTTTCAGCTCATTTTCATGAAGGATGTAAATAATTCTGGAGTTGACTGTAATAGTGATCTATTTAAAGATATATCACACCATAAAAATATCGATATACATAAAAAGTCATACTGCTATGTAATGTTTTTTAAAACTTGTAATTGCAATCAATTAAACATATTTCGATTTGTACCCATCACACCAAGGCCTACGTTTCTGGAACTGGGTGACTTAAAAGGAGGGGGCATCCTCTAGTGTTACTCATGGGCTAGAAAACAGAAAATAATGCGGTGAATTTAATATGAAAAATGTACACTGCCCGTAACGGCTATGATGAGAAGGTCTCCCATTCTTATATGAGCCATTCTGTCCCACACGGGCATGAATGAGTTGTGAACCTAAGACGGAAGGAAATAGCGGGCGGCATGTGAGGAATCCATCGCGGAGCTGGCCGTACCCGTCATGCACCGCGGCATTCTGCAAACTCCCATGGAACGGTCCCGGCCAGGCTTAAATTGTGTATAATGCTAAATAGTTATAGCATACGAACGGTAAGCTCGTCTTTAATTTGCATAACGTTATGTAATCACGTTATCCGCGAGGGAGAAACATTTTCTTCTGCGTTTTCGGCGCAGTGATGAAGAAAATTAAGAGTCGGAACGGTGTGTTGCAGCCGCAGTTGTTGCGCCGGACGCCATGTTCGGCTGGTTGTTACTGTAATGCGCGCCAGCTGATCAATGCTTGCGGTTTTACGGACAAATGCATTTGCAATACGTGCGTGTTCGATCATAGCCGAGAATAAAAGATACGCCCGGTGCCGTCTTTAAGAAGATAATGAAAAGTTGAGTTATTTCCCTTGGGATTATATACAACCATTCGCCGCTATTGTTTACAATACGTACATGGAAGGACGAGGGCCGGTTCGGGATGCATTCTAATTCTTATCTCCACTGTCTACTTTTCATAATCGACTGCACGAACCCTGAAAATTACCTGCTTTACTTGTCACTCTCTTTGAATCTTCGGTGCAGCCTTTAATCACCCCCGGCCTGGGTTTTTCAAAGATCTGATTATCCATTTCAGAATATTGATGAACATTTTGCATTAACCAAGCGTTATATAATTGACGGAGTAAAGAATTCTGTAATGCAGTCTATATATATATATTGATAGTTATTCAGTGCACGAACATCACGTTCTGAAAGGGACTGTCCCATGATCTGATGCAGCAGCATTTTTAGGTCTGTTATTTTATCTTATTATCACAGGTTCCTGACACTTGATGAAATTTGTTCACGTCAAGACAATTTCCTAATAGCAGCATCAAGATGTCGGAGCTTTTCATGGAATGTGAGGAAGAGGAGTTGGAGCCATGGCAAAGGAGAATACCAGAGATAAATCTAGTAGATGATGATGACGACGATGATGATGAGCCCATCTTTGTTGGAGAGATCCGTGCCTCCAAAGTTACTCCGAACACCAGGCCAAGTATGAATGATTGTATTCTATACTTGCCTCTGCTGACCTGGTCTTCACCTGGAATGACCGGAAAATCCGACAAAAAATGATCCTGAGTCGGTTTCAGCTCTCGTGTTTTGTCCTCAGGTCCTGCTCCTGTCGCCAAAGCCCCCACTCAGTGGCGTAAGCCGCCTGCACCCGTCCAGAACACCTTGCCTGTTTCTCCAGTGCAGAGAGGTGGAAGTGGCACGGTGGCCCCCGTTCAGAGGCATTCGCAGCCTCCTGCCAGCACACAGCCTGTGTCCTCGGGTCCTGCTCAGCTCACAGTCAGAGCGGCACCCCAGCCAGTGGCCAAGTCCCTGCTCATCCCAGTGACGTCCCAGCCTGGGTCCAGTCCTGCTGCCGCACAGAACGTGTCCCGCACCCTGACGACAGTGTCCCCGCAGCCCATCATCATTACCAACAACCAGGTAACCATGGCTCCCCTTATGCTTCTGCTTTTTTTTTTTAACCTGCTTGAAAATATTAAGCAACTAATGAGTTATTTTCGATGATATGCTAGTTGAGGATTTGCCACTGACGTGGTATGTCGTATCAAAACGTTTTTGTGTTTCTGATCTATCAGGGATATATATTGACTTCTCCCCAGATACCAAACAACTCCACCTTCATCACACCATTTGGGACTCAGTATCCCAGTGGCACATCCTTTGCAGTACTTCCAGGTACCACATTAGCTTTTTTGTCTGTTAAACCTAACGCCGTGTCTTTGCAGGCCAGTCCCCACACAGGCCCCAGGTGGGATCTGAACCCCAACAGTGTTGCCCACTGAGCCTCCAATCTCTTAAATCAATCTTGTCTGCATGTTTAAACTTTTTTTTGACTGCATGAGTTTTGTGGGGTTTTTTTAACCTTGGGTCACCGATGCCTTTCCTATAACATTTGTCATGAAGACGTCTCCTTAGATGGGCATTATTAGTTAACTTGGATGAGAGCTGCTTAAATGACTAAGAATTTAACTCTATATAACCACTTCACTCTCTCTTTTCTCTCTGATTACTGTGCCTGCTTTTTACTTCATTCATGTCTCATTTGGCGTCTAACACCTACTGATAAATTCTTATAAATGTATATTGTGAAAATTATTGTAAATACGTAACAAGCATGACCTGACTTAGGGCATTTGAAGTATTTAGGGGGGGGTTCAGCACCTGCTTGTCCACTGTGACATTATTAATTTTTTGTCCATGCAGCTGGACAGCAGCTGTTGCAGCCGGTGGCCCCTGCTGGCCCGGTGCCGGGAGTCATCCACAGGCCTCAGGTCCAGCTCATACAGAACAACGTTGTCACCCTGACCAGCATGCAGAGTCCTCCTCAGGCCAAGCAGCCACCTGCGCAGCCATCCACGCAGTTCACCACCAGTACCCTGCAGGCCATACACACAAACTCAGCCACACTTCAGCCAATTCAACTGGGCTGCTCGGCGTCACAGGCCAAACCAGGCACCTCGGCCAATCAGAAGAGCTCGCCTCTGCCGGCTCCGCATGCCGGCAGTCACTCAGGTATGACGGCACAGCCTCTATCCAAGCAATTCTCAGGTGTAGGCCTACACTATTAACCGCTATTTTTCATTCATTGTTACCCCTTGACAGCGCCCTCTGCAGGCAACGGCAGCAGCACAGTGAAGCGAACTTTTCAGCCGAACTCGATGAACCCAGTGAAGAAGATGAAGCTGGAAACTGGTGTGTTTCTCCTGCTCTCACCCCCCCCCCCACACCTCAGAGGCCAGGTGATGGAACAGAGAGCAGCGTGTAGAAATATCACTCATCTCTCTCTCCTCAGTTGTAGGGACCCCCAATGCCACGGCTTCCACGCAGAATGGAACACCTTTCAAGAAAAAATGTCCAAAATGTAACATTCAATTCATCCTTCCGGATCCTATGAAACGCCACATGAAGGTGGGCCTGAATCCCCCCCCCCCCTTCACCAACACTGGCTAAAGGTCCAGGCATCTCTGGGCATGTTCTGATAGTAGAATTAGCATTTTCTGCTTATTTTTGGTTATACGGTCAGTAAACAGATCTGCAGGGAGGGCACTGCTTCCAGAAGGACTTACTGGCTTCTCTGTCTTCCCTCAGTACTGCTGCTATGATTTGATAAACAGCGTGTTCCCTACGACATCCACGCCGGACCAGCCATCCTCGCCTCTGCACGTGAAGACCACTGGGAAGGGTAAAATCATCATGCTGGTATCCGACTTCTACTATGGGAGACATGAGGGAGACACGGTGCAGGTCAAGGAGGAGAAGGCGCTCACCACATTCAAGTGTAACAGCTGTCTGAAGGTCCTGAAGAGCAACATCAGGTGGGCCTTCACAGCTGTCTGCGTGCTTTGTTGTATCGATTCTCAGCCCGTGGGTCACGACCCAGCAAGTTCTGAAAGAGTCACGAGGCAGAATTGCTCCTATGCTGATCCACGATCAGATTTCCCAGCCACAGTGCTAGAATTAACCTATACAAAGCAGTCTTGGGTCTGCAAAAACTAGTGACTACCCAACCAATCCAAGAAGTCAAACCACAGATGCTTAATTTAAAATTCACTGGGACATCCAATCAGATTTGTGCAGTTAGCATTGATTGGCATAAACTGCAGAGTGCACTGCGTGCTGGATCATAGCGTTAATTTAAACATATACTTGATACAGTGGTACCTCAGTTCTCAAACTCATTAGAACTTGAATTTCTTAAAAGTTGAACCATCCAGTTCGGAAAAAAAATTACCTAAGACTCGATCTGAATCTCAGAAGTCAAATCGTGAACGCCGACCTAAGATAACTTGTACGCGCAGGGAAATGAGTCACGCGGCACGTCTCTCGGCGGAAACAAAGGGTAACGCTTCAGCCTCGCATTCACTGTGATAGCATCGTGCATGTTTACACTACCTTTTGTGTTTAAATGCTAAAAAAAGACACATTTAGGTATAATTTTTTGGGGCCGGGAACCAATTAATTGGTCTTGCATTATTTCTTAAGTGGAAAATTTGATCAGAACTCGTGACCTTGTGGAGAATGCATACATGTCAGATTTGGCATTTATTTGTATGTTTTCAAAAAAACAATACGATTATTCAAATCAAGTGTCCTGGTGCCATGAAGCCAGATTTCTTGCTTAGCCGGATAACTTGTTGGATAGGGTTGCGACTAAGCTCGCATGGTAGAAATTGGGTAGTGGTGCAAAAAAGACTGAGATCCACTGCTTTAGTGCATCAGCAGAGGTGCCTAGTTCAGGTCCAGAAGGTAAAAATGCAGACCAAGATTTTGTTTCAACCAACCAGTTGCGTATAAAGGGTCACAGAGTACTGTCAACCCCAGGCATTGCTTAAAGTGGCAGTTCACATCTAAACTGAAAAAGATACGTTTTAGAGGGCCTTTAGTGCTGTGCAGAAGATAGGAGCACAAATACCCCGGCAATATCTTCTGGGCAGTGATGCAATTGATGTGTGGGGTTCAGTAGAAGAAAATGGTTCCTACATTAAACTGCTCACTACAAAGTCCATGAATTATCTTCACTAACTGGGTCTTTATTTCTTGTAAGAGATGTTGCTGTTGACTTTTTGAAATGTATGTTTCTGCCGTTTTAATCACCAGTGAAAATGCCTTTCGCTCCCATTATATTTGAGAGAAGACTGACATTTCTTTGGCCAATATCTCCAAAACTTGGCATCTCCCAGCAGAACAACCTTGATGGATAAAATGCAGTAAAGACCCTCTAAAATAGCTTTTTCAATTTTGGGGTGAGCTGCCCCTTTAAAGGAGACTGGCACATTATCTTGACAGAGTAGCTGTTCTTTTCAGTATGACTGCGACATAAATTATCGAAGCGGTCAACGTGAACGCCAGCTTCCATGTTTCTAGAACTGTTTCACGGTGGTCCCTCTTTTTGATGATGTCATTAAATACATCCACTCCTGAATCTCATTTTTCCTCTTTGGGCTTCGTGTATGTCAGGTGTATCATTGTCTTCTAATACATGTTCAGAAACAAAACAAAAACATCCGTTGGGAACAAAGGCACCAGTGGACAAGAAATGACAAAAGACCGGGGTAAAAACTGACAAGTAAATAATTGACGACTTTTGTTCATACAGACTGATTGGGGTCAAATGAGACAACGGCAGGAATTCTTGTCTGTTGGCCACGTTGGACGCAGGCAGTTAAGAGCTGAAAATCCAATTTGGAGCTGGCGGTGAAGGCTGCATAGGACCTGCATGAGCTAAACAGCTTTGCTCTGGGTACAGCAAAAAAAAAGTCTTCCGTAAGCTCTTTTAAGAGGGGACTTCTTGTATTGTGTTGCACATCTGGCAGCTGTGCAGCCATCGCCTCTGTAAGCTCTGTTAAGAGATGGCAAAGTGCAGACTGAGAAATGGAATTTTCCTTGACAAGCCACGGCCTCTGGGAAGCTCCCGGAGATTTGTGGTGGCAGTGGAGGAAACCCACCGTTAAATGAAAGCAGGATTTTGGTAGCTGTCTGCGTTTATAATGGCAGATGTGTGTGTGGACAGCACAGAGCTGACAGAACCTAGTTTATCTTTTTCAGACACTGGATGTTGCTGACTAGATGCATTTTTGGATAATATCCCCACGTTAACTCCATATGCTTCTGGCATATTCAGAGTGGAAAACACATATTTGGGAAAATGGCAGATGTACTGGGAGATCCCTGGTAGCGAAGGAGTGCCATTGCATTAAAGAAAATTAGATGGATGCTGGAGGCGTCCAGGAAAGTGTTGTGCACGCGGGATGGAGATTTGTCTGAGAAAAGACGCCAGTATAAATAAAAATAGTCTCTGAAAGTGTTTGTGGTCTTAGCTTTTTTTTTTTTTTTGTGACTCATTCTGGGATTTTCAAAAAGCCACATGAAAGCAGCGTCAGGAAGCCAGCAGGCGCGCGGGTGACGGGACTCGCGCACGCGTATCCGCTTCTGTGTTTACTCACCCGGCCAGGCGGACCCAGGGCTGTCGAGGGCGCGTCCTGATGCCTGCGGTTTTCCGCAGGTTCATGAACCACATGAAGCACCACTTGGAGCTGGAGAAGCAGAGCAACGAGAGCTGGGAGAGCCACACCACCTGTCAGCACTGTTACCGGCAGTACGCCACGCCCTTCCAGCTGCAGTGCCACATCGAGAGCGCCCACAGCCCCTACGAGTCCACCAGTACGCCAGGCCCACGCTCGCTCTTCCGCTAAGCCTTTCCCTGATGCTAGCATCTTCGCTACCGTTAACTTAGCATTGTGATGTTGGCACCTTGCACAGGGTTGTCGTACGTCTGTGTCAGGGGGTGTTTTCAGAGTTAATTTAATACCATTTTCCTGTCTTCTGCAGCTAATTGTAAGATTTGTGAGCTGGCTTTTGAAAGCGAACAGGCACTCCTGGAGCACATGAAGTTCAACCACAAGCCAGGGGAAATGCCCTATGTTTGCCAGGTAGGCGGGCAGCGGTTTGACGAGGCAAGATTATTCAAATCGACCACCCTGGGGCCCGTTTCATAAAGCAGGATTTCTTGCTTAGCTGGATAACTTGTTGGATTTAAGGTGCTTCATTTTAAATGGACTTTATCTTCATCTACTCACATTTAACCCAGACCACCATAAATCCAACAAGTTATCTGGCTAAAGAAATCCTGCTTCATGAAACCAGGGGACTCGGTTTGAATGATCTGTTTGTTTTTGATCCTCTCTTTTGAAAACATACAAATAAATGCCAAAACTGAGCCATACACATTCTCCACCAGGTCTGCAACTACAGGTCATCGTTCTTCTCTGAAGTGGAGAGCCACTTCCGAAGTGTACATGAGAACACCAAGGACCTCCTCTGTCCCTTCTGCCTCAAAGTCCTGCGGAGCGGCCATACTTACATGCAGCATTACATGCGACATCAGGTGCGAGGACGTGGCCCTCTGGCCCCGGATTCTGACGGTTGGGTCCTGACTCATGTCGTTGACTCATGTCTGTGCCTCTGAATGGAGGCCCTGCACAGTGCTGTTAGCTTAGCGCTGCTTTCTGATCTGACGGAGAGAAATCTGCACAATGCAGTTTTGATCCTTGGGGATTTGAGGACCGCTGTGCTGCATCTGAAAGTCAGCAGAGGGCTGGTAATCTGCGGAAATTAATCTCATAGATCAGCACACGACCACATGACGCACGAGCTTGTCATTGCAACTTTTCACATACAGTACTGTGCAGAAGTCTTAGGCAGTCAAAGTGTTTAGAATTGTGTATCTGAGTAGTAAATGTAGATTTGCTCAGAAAAAATACAGTTTAACATTAGAACAAATTAACAGTAACAATAAAAACCAACAAGAATTTCTTCCATTCTTCAAAAAGTTACTGATATCTTGTTAGATAGGTAGATGAATACTGCATCACCTCCCCAGCCTCTCCGGGACCCACAGCCAATCCACATATTAGTTAATTGGGCTAGAGGTGAAATTTAATTAATTAATTTATTTTCTTTGTCTAAGACTTTTGCACAGTGCTGTATATTTTCTGTCTGTGATGTGCTTGAACTGTTATTTGTTATTCAGACATGCTTGCTTTTTCCCCCCCCAGAAAAAGGGAATTCATCGATGTGGTAAATGCCGGTTAAATTTCCTCACGTACAAGGAGAGATCGGACCACAGGGCACATCTACACCGGACTTTCAAGAAGCCAAGGACCCTGGAAGGTCTTCCTCCTGGGACCAAGGTTTATCCTCTTACGAACACACATGCGTTTCCAGGCTCCTGTCATGAAAATTGCAGTATTTATTAGTTTGGATTTGTTCTCCTCGCCCTTCAAGGTGACGATCCGAGCGTCTCTGTCCGGCGGCTCGTCCACTTGCCCCAAAACTCCCGAAAAGTCTATCGTCAGCCTGGACCCCAGCAGTCCAACCCCCCGACGGCTGGGGAAGTCTCCAGTCAGCACGGTGAAATCCAAGTCTCTGCAGGCGGCCAGTGCGGCCAAGTCCCGAACCTTCCAGAACCGACGGCAGGAGCGTCTGTCCAGTTCCAGACAGCTGGAGCGCAGCAACCAGGCCCTGAAGAGCCTCCAGTGAGGCCACCATCTTGTCTTCATGCAAAAATGTGTAGAAAAAAGTGGTGAATATTTATTTGCTGAATTTTTTTCTTTGCCCTTTCTCTTGTCAGAAATGAATTTGGGACACAGTTGTGCGTTGAATGTTATACGGAAGTCAAGGACTTCTACGGACACTATCCCCTGGTCATGAAATGCAGCGCGTGCAAGTATCAAACCAGCTGCAAGAAGTCGTTTGAGAACCACATGATCAGGTAGCTCCTGAAACGCGCCGAGTTTGCGCCTCACTTTGAGTTTCCTGTGAGGGCTGCGTGACCGAGGCTTTTGTCTCTCTCTAGGTTTCACAGCGCCATCTCCAGGGACAGGTTTCGGAAGATGCGGAAGCCGACGGGAAAGCTGCGGTATGGGAAACTGGCTGCATTTGTCACTGACATGACCTTTCGGAATGTAGCGAAGCAGGAAGTGGCGGACAAATCAGAGATGGCTGATGCTTTTCACCATTAATGCTGTGATTGGTGTAATTACAGCATTAATGGTGTAATCACTCCCTTGCCTATTTTGGCTAAAATAAACCAGCTAAACACAAAATATAAATGGGATATTTGTGAAAATGTCTCTTTATACCAGTGTTGTTGTAATTGTTGTTTTGGGTGGTTGCTCTGCTGAAAATTCAGACCCTGCCATTGTTTTAAGCAGTTTTATTCTGAAAAGCTCAGATTTCGAGCTGCTGCACATTGCAGGAGCTTAACGCTGGTGTGTCTTAACTGCGATTTCCTGGAGGACGCCTCTGGCAGCGACCTCATGACCAAACACCTGATCGACAGGCCGCACCACACATGCCAGGTCATCATTGAGAAAGGTCAGCTCTGGCCGCACCCTGACCCGAGTCTCTTATGCTCCTGTGTGGCTTTTGTCAGCAACCAGTAATTTCTAAATGTCCCCTATTTGTTTTGACAGGAACTTCTACTGCTGAACCCAAAAAAACACAGTGAGTATTTCCAGCTTCGTATCATGGGATTTGTAATCTGCCATTGTGGTAAATCACCCCCAACATTGCGTGAGAATAATTTTTAATGTGTGGTTATTTTGCCATTACACTGATTTAACACAACTATTTGTGTTTAACACAAGTGAAAGCTTGTGGTTGGCCAGCAGGGTCAGCCAGTACCGCTGGTGCACTTGATGTCTTCACTGGAAGAGGGGCAGCGTGTGGCTCAGTGGGCTAAGCCTGTGTGCCTGTAATCACAAGGTCGCCGGTTCAAACCCAGCCTCAGCACGTCTGTGGGTCCTTGAGCAAGGCCCTTAACCCCCAGCTCCCTGGGCGCCGCTACGGGTGGCAACCCTTTGCGGACAGCTAGCTCTACAAAGAGCAAGTTGAGGGAGGCATGAACCCACAACCTTCTGGGCACGGGTACAAAGCCCTAATCCACTGAGTTACACACCGTCCCATGCCATTTTTTGTTTGAAAATGGTTCCTTATTTCATTACCAAGCACCAAGACTGTAGCAGTATGGGTGTGAGTTTGTGGGTGACCTTGGGAAGGTTAGGGAACTGCACTTATAATCGAAAGATTGCTGGTTCGAATCCCCAACCAGCAAAGTACCACTGAGGTACCTTGAGTGAGGTACCGCCCCCAAGCACTGCTCCCTAGGTGCTGAATTAGCTGCCCCCTGCTATGTCACAGTGTCTTATATTGGTTAAACACATTTTGTTGTTGCGTGACGTTTGCTGTGGTGTGTCACCAATGACAATTAATCACTATTCACTCCACAGATCTGAGCTTGATGTTAAGTCCTGTCTGGACCTCAGTAACTCCAAGGTTTGTCCGATGAACCTTCACGAAAAACATAAAGACCCAAGTCCATAAAATGTAAACGATGCTAATAATGCGGCTTGTTGTTCTTGCCTGTAGGATAATGAAGTTGCTAGTAATGGCTGTCAGAGTGAGCAGTCCTCCACCGAGACTAATGGGTAGGGATGCTTTCCAAAAGGCTCTACCTGTGTGTGTCACTTAACTTCGTTTGTATCCTGAGTTTTTGTTTCTGCTTTCTGTTTTCAATTTGGAAGTAGCGCCAAAGACGAGGTCCAGGACCCAGTGCCTGTCTCAAGCCCGAAGGATGCTTCTGGAAGCGGGGATTCTGATACACCGAGGATTCTGATACAGCCCGACACCGGGGAAACCCCACAGCCCAAAGACGGCAAGCAGAGCGAGACCCAGGGGGCTCCCGCAGAGCCCGGCCCGGCCGAGGCCCCGGGGGTTCCCGCAGAACCCGGCCCGGCCGAGACCCAGGGGGCTCCCGCAGAGCCAGGCCCGGCCGAGGCCCCGGGGGCTCCCGAAGAGCCCGACCAGGCCGAGACCCAGGGGGCTCCCGCAGAGCCAGGCCCGGCCGAGGCCCCGGGGGTTCCCGCGGAGCCCGGCCCGGCCGAGACCAAGGGGGTTCTCACGGAGCCCGGCCCGGCCGAGGCCCCGGGGGCTCTCGCGGAGCCCGGCCCGGCTGAGACCAAGGGGGTTCCCACGGAGCCCGGCCCGGCCGAGGCCCCGGGGCCTCCCACGGAGCCCGGCCCGGCTGAGACCAAGGGGGTTCCCACAGAGCCCGGCCCGGCCAAGGCCCCGGGGGCTCCCACAGAGCCCGGCCCGGCCAAGGCCCCGGGGGCTCCCACAGAGCCCGGCCCGGCCGAGACCCAAGACGAGGGCAGCGACCCGAAAGACGCGTCCCCTCCCGATGCCGAACGCGGCGACTGCTCTCCTGCCAGGGATGAGAGCAAGCAGGCCAGAGACGGCGTCCCCTTCGAGGAGTTCCTGCGGAAAGAGGACCAAAGGGAGACAGCGAGCCCTAGCGGCTCAAAGCACGGCTTAGTTACCCTGGAGCCTCTCACACCCTCCAAGGTGCTGGAACACGAGGCCACGGAGATCCTTCAGCAGGGAAACGGCCCCCCCTCCAAGACGCAAGAGGCTGCGGCTGAATGTCCGGATGGCAGCGGACGCGTCACTCCGGAGACGGAAGCAGGCCTTGGCGTAACGACAGAAGCTGGAGGAAAATGACTCCCTTTTTAAAAAAAAAAAAAAGCATTATGTTAATTGAGAACATGTTTTTTGTTTTTGGGCAAGGGGCAGTAGAAATGGGAGAGGAACTTATTTTAATTTTTTTTTCCTACTTGCCTCTAAGGGGGGGGTGTGTCTTCCTACCAGGCTTCTCCACTCAAGAGTCAACTTTCAACGAAAGTCATATCACTAATATGTGTGAATATCTGTGTTGTGAATTTGTTTGGAGTTGTCTTGTAGAGAATTTGCTGCTTTTTTTAAGTTCAAAGTATAAATTGAATTGAGACAGTGAGCTGTATTTCTGAGTCACTGCCTTTTTAGAAATGGTTACTCACATGGTTCTTCCTTTGCCTGGCATGTTTAAACTGTATGGACTCTTCTCCTTGTGAAAGGTTGCATTAATGTGGCTTATGGGCATGTATCAGGGGGTACTTAGTCCAAACCAAGGGCTCCATACACAGACCCATATTGCAAAACTGCGAAAAGTTGATCCTGGTATTTTTACTGCTCTCTTCTACGGTTAGATTTTAGGATTTTTTTTTAAATCCATACATTGCATCACCTACTCTGCATTTCAGTACCATGGTATACATGGTATCTCCAGTGCTACTAAATTCTTTGTGTCCAGCTACATGCTAATGAGAAGGATGTGGAAGGTGTCTGAAGTAGACATTGTTGGCTGATTTTATGGAAACTGTAAATAAAAGCCATCATTAATATTCACCTCTTTAATCTCATCACTTTTGTTTAGCTGGAGCTTAATTTGGGTAAAACAACAAATTTCTGTGGTGTAGTTTTGTTAGGTTTGCACCATTTTATTGTTACAGGAAATAGCAGAATTGCTGCCCATCTTGTCACCCTCAGTTGACTTCCTTGCTGAAATGAAACCTTTTTCGCTGAAGGTTGCCCATGATGGTAGGACTGTGTGGAGCTGGAGTATGTAAGTAGAATCCAGTTAGTCTGCTGGACAGTTTTGGCATTGGTCTCTGCAAGGGGCTGGTGTGAATGTCATTGCATTGATTGATACTGAAAGGAGTTTCTGCCTACATGGATATTTTTTTTATTAAATCAATTTTGTAGCGATTAGGATTTATTTTGGAACCATGTGAATTACTGAGGTGCAAAACTGGCTGGGTTCAAACTCAGAAGGACACTTTGCTTTTTTGATTGGAAGCTTGTGAAAATAGTTTGAGGGGAGGGTTTTGTACTTTTGTTCTGTATATTATCCATTAAAATGCTGTCTCCCCCGTGACATTCATAAAATGCATTCTGTCCCCATCCCCAGGTCATTTTGCAATGTACCTCTCCCCAGTCAGTATTCAAACTTTGAAGACACATGATATGGATGAACTACTGAAAGGGATCACATTTTGAGATTAATCACCCCAAAATTGCAAAATAGCACTGCATAGTAATACCAAAAAGGTAGTTTCAGATATTTGATCCTTTTCGTGCTATAACTCAAGAAGCATTTGACTGATCTTCTTCAGCCTTTGCAGACGTTGCATAGATGAAGATATGGACCTGTTCGAATTCTGAGAGAAAAAGTTAAAGCTACAGCAGTTCGTGAACTCAGATGCTGCAGACAAGTTGCTTGACCTTGTTAATTGTGTGGTCACAGGGACAGCAGAGAGCCCAGGGCTGGGATACATTTGTAGTCAAGACCGCCTAAACCGAGACCAAGACATTGCCGAGACCGGAGGGTATCAAGACCAAGACACTGCCGAGACTTGAAGGTACCAAGTCCAAGACCAAGACCAAGACCGAAAACAGACTAGGGCTAGAATCGACATCACATTACTCAGATCAACTGTAGAGAAAAAAGGCATTGCTGTAAAGTGTTATTACTCGTTAAATCAAATTCATGTTATCTTGTCAATTATATTGTCCATATGTCCATATGTCTCTCATTTAAAATCTCCCAGATTTGTCATAGTTACGAGGCCTGATGGAAAATAATATTCTCAGCAATCCTCTCCTATAACCATTTTATCAGACCTCGTCAAGGGAAAGAGATGGGATGTACCAGAAAGATGTTCAAATTAAGTACCAGGGAGAGAGGCCTCGGGTAAGCTATGAATACGGCTATGTGATGATCCTCTGCTTTGAATTGAAGAGAATGAGCCTCCAGATTGACTTGCACCTCCAAGACCGTGCTTTCTAATGAATGTGAAATACCTAATTTAATTGAATTATAACTATGCTATTAGTGCTGGGAGATAAAACGATCTCGATTTTTTTTATCGATAAAAAATAAGGACGATCACGATGATACACACAGACTATAAAACTCGATCAACCAAATTTGCTCCGTTTTAGAGAATGCGCTGAGACAGACAACTCGATGGCCTATCGAGCAGAGGTTTACTGAACGCCAGCACAACAGCCAATCACCGACGACGTTGTAATTTTGCCCATCTCCCCTTAAAGAAGCAATGGGTGCGTTCGACTGCAGCTGACGCAACGTGGAGTGCAATCTGTCGGCGGCTGCAGGGGTGGAGTATAAACTGACTGCAGCCAAGTCAGACAACTTCTACTCCTCGTAGCCTGTGAGACCTGACTGCAATGGCATCACTGCCAGAAGGGTGTAGACAAATCTATACAAATATCACCTGCATGCCTTCTTCACAGATTGGATGATCGGTATGTCTTTCTGATAGGTATATCTGATAGGTATGTCTTTCTGATATAGGTATGTCTTTCTGATATAGGTATGTCTTTCTGATATAGGTATGTCTTTCTGATAGGTATGTCTGTCTGATAGGTATGTCTGTCTGATAGGTCTTTCTGATGGGTATGTCTGATCGGTATGTCTTTCTGATGGGCATGTCTCATCGGTACGTCTTTCTGATAAGTATGTCTCGGATGGGTATGTCTTTCTGATAGGTATGTCTCTCTGATGGGCATGTCTTTCTGATGGGTATGTCTTTCTGATGGGTCTGTCTGATGGGTATGTCTTTCTGATCGGCATGTCTCATTGGTATGTCTTTCTGATCGGCATGTCTCATTGGTATGTCTTTCTGATGGGTATGTCTGATAGGTATGTCTTTCTGATAGGTATGTCTGATTGTTATGTCTTTCTGATAGGTATGTCTTTCTGATGGGCATGTCTGTTTGATAGGTATGTCTTTCTGATGGGCATGTCTCATGGGTATGTCTTTCTGATATACCAATCAGACAGACATACCTATCAGAAAGACATATGTGTCAGAAAGACATACCCATCAGAAAGACATACCCATCAGACATACCAATCAAAAAGACATACCAATCAGACATACCAATCAGAAAGACATACCCATCAGACAGACCCATCAGAAAGACATACCAATCAGACATACCAATCAGAAAGACATACCCATCAGACAGACCCATC